TGGAGGGTCACTTTAAATTCAGAATAGTCTTGGATTTGGGAAAAACCAATATGTCCTTGCTATAGCTGCATCTGAGCTATGACTTGAGGAGAAGGACAAAGTTGGTATTAAGCTGTAATGCCAAATAATAAGAAAAAAAATACCTTCATCTAGCTGGCTGTTTACAGCTAGATCTGGTTGAAGCTTCAAGTATTTGTTCCGTGGGAAATTCTGGTGGTTTAAAAAACAAAAAAACCCAAAAAAAACAAAACAAAAAACCCCCCCCCAAAATCGCTCTTGTCCTAAATCAGAATTTTAAAAGCTTCCCTAGGGAATAGAAGGGAAAATTTGATTTTTTTTTTCCCTACATGGGGAAAAAGATGAACTATTTCAGCTGAATTTTCTGAAGCAAAACAGAACTTCCCTCAGACTGCTGGCATTTTCTACTGTCTAAAACGTATGCTAGGAAGATTATGCGAGAACCTACATTATGTGCCCAAAAGCTCCTGCATATGTACTCTTAATTCTTTTGGTTATGTTCAAAAGCAACAATTGAGAACAAAATGACACCCTCCTACTGCTCACTTTGAGCCCTGGTGAAGGCCGATTATGAAGCACAGACTAGCATGGTCTTTTCAAACAACCACTCTGTGCTTCCTCAGGAAGGCAAGGCAAACTATTTGGATTCTCTGCAGAGAAGGGGACAAGCAGCATAAGTGAATATCCCTGCAGAACTAAGAGCTGCTGGGGGAAGAGAATCAAGGTCAAAATTGGTTTCCAATAGCTAGTGTCTGTTTAGACTGAGGAAGTCAAACATGGAACGTATCAAATGTTCAATTACAGGAGAAACTTGTTTCTATTAAGTGAATGGGAAGAGATCAAATATGTTTAGACAAACATACATGCCAAGAACATCAGGTAAATAAATGACATTTTCAAGAGGTTTCATTCAACAGAGTTACCATTTTTCTGTGCTTGTCTGTACCTATGAACACTGAATATTTATTTACCTGGAAGCTCAAAATCAGTCCATTTCTGTGGAGACCCACTGAAACTGTGCCTATCCTGCTGCAGGTCACTGCTGCTTGACATGAGTAATTCATCACAGCCCTCTTCTGTGTTACACTGAGAATCAAATTTGATTGAGAGGTAGATGGCACCAGGGATGTGAACTTTATCCTGTGGAAGCCAAGGAGATCAGCTCTGTATCATTATGCTGTATCAAACAAACACTCAAAATACAGCTTACAAGGGGGCAAGATATAATAAATATTGCAATATTTTCATGAATAAGAAGGAAAGAACTTGTAAGTACGGTCACAGGCAAATTCAGTAAATTCAAGGCAGTTCCTACAGTGCTAATTACATGTAAGGGTTTGAAGAACTATTTAAAGATTTTATTTCAAGATAGTAAGCATCGTGCCATTATAGTCCCGAACACTGATGCACTGAATCCAGAAGTCCAGTTGCCACAATACTGATCCCTAGGCAGACCCTGAAGGATCGTTTATACAAATTTAAAGAATGTACATAAGTTCCTAATCTGTACTGAAGAGATGCAAAAACTCTCACAGTTGCCATGAGAATTTCTGAGACCAAGGGACGCTAACCTTTCTTGTATCCACATGCCCCAGGGTCCTATAAAATGCCCTCAATTCTGCCTAACTTGGGACATGTAGGAAGAGTCATTCCTGGTTTTGCTGAGTGCTCATCTCTCGTGCAAGAACATTTATAGTATAATGCTGCAAGTCAGGCAGGGAAGGGGGATCATTAAGTGTGCATGTAGGGAGAAGGTAGCCCACAAATAAATATATAGAGAAAAAAAGTTATACTTTCTCCTAAAGTTTTCTGCTGATGCCTCAAGGTGAAACAGGCCCGTGTTGGAAAGATTTTAATTTTTCTCATCAAGGTGCCAGGAAGATACAGCAATGCACTTAAGAACATGACTGGCAGGAGTGCCACTGAAGATGATGGCCTACTCACATGCTTAAAATGTGAAGACACTTGAGTCCCAAAATGAATGCATCTCTGTAGGGATACAAGGTTAATGAACAAGCCTTTTCCTAACAGGTGGGAATGAGTGGGATTTTCTAGAAGTACTTTGGGTTTCAGTTTCCTAAGACACAAAAGGGCTGCAGTTATGCAAAGTCAGTGGCGTTTATATTTCCAACTAATCTAGATGCTTCTGAACAATCATACTAGATGTTTTCTAGTATAGCTGCACTAAAACTTACCTCAAAATTTGTGTTGTTGTTGTAGGGATGTTTGGATTCTCGTGTTTGGACTGCCATGCCAGGTTCTTCCATGAACTGACAGGCTGTCAGCGCCATTGTCCCCAGCATGCTGTCATTGCATCTGCGCAGCACTTTCTGCAGGATCTGAGGAGATGCAACGTATCAAGCAAGCTCAATTGGCTAACAGAAGTGCACCTGCAGACAGATCTGACAAGCACTGACAATTTTTTTAAAACAAAGTGTCACCTCAGGAAAGAGAGAGCTACACTACTGTTATAGGAAACAGGAGATGCTCACAAATGGAATTTCCAAGTGGCCTTATTGTGCAAATGTACTGTCTCCTATAAATATGGAAGATTTCACCAAGCCCTCTGACGGCGTTGCAGAACCCGCGCGGTAGCAGAATGAGATTCTAGCATACCAAGACAACTTTTGAAAGACTGGAAGTTATCAGTTTCATCTTTCTCGTTTCTTTCAACAGGGACATTAACATAAAGAATAATGTCACAAGAGATTAATATGGCCAAATAAAACCTCAAAAAGGAACAAGAAATGTAATTTTAATCTAGGCACTCTAGCCTCCTATATATCTCCAGAAACTTTCAATATAAAAAAAAACCCAAGTCATTTAAATTTCAAATTACTAGGGGTGCACCAATACCAATAGCCAATTTTTAAGGAGGCATACCAGCCAATACCGATTTGATTTCTGATACAGCTAAGTCCAGCTGGTAAGTCTGTTGTGGGGAAGGGGAAGGGGGAGGGAAGGGGTGTGGGGGAGCAGATCAACATCCCCCATGGTAATGGAGAGAGTGGGGCTGGGGCAGGCACTGCCCAGCCAGGGTGGGGCAGGGAAGGCACGGGATGGAGCCACAGCTTGTCCAGGGGACGTGGGAGGGGTGGTGGTTTTGGGGGGAGCGCTCCCACTGCTGCACGCCACTTGTCCGGCAGTTCCCGTTGCTGCTCCCACTGCTTGTCCGGGAGGGTGCAGGTGGGGTGCATGCCCCCCAGATCTGTGCGGGGCAGGGCAGGGTGAGCTGCAGTTGCAGGCTGGGGCCAGAGGCCGCACTGTGCTTGGGCTAGGCAGTGGTGGCGGCGCTGGGTGGGGGCTACGGCAAAATCTGGCGTAGCTGCAGCCCGCTCCCCAACCCCCACATAATTCCCCTCCCAGCACTGCTGCTGCCTGCCTTGAGTGCAGCGCAGCATGGCCCCCAGCCTGCAGCAGCTGCAGCCTGCCCTGCCCTGCCCTGGCCCGTCCCGTGCAGATCAGGGGGCACCTTGCCCTGTGCCCTCCTAGATGACTGGCAGGAGCAGTGGCAGGAGCCGTTGGACAAGCTGCATGCAGCAGCGGGAGCTGTCCCCCCTCCCTGTGCCCCCTGGACAAGTCAAGGCTCTGGCCCGTGCCCGCTTCACCCTGGCTGGGCAGCGCCTACCCCAGCCCCACTCCCTCCCTCACCGCAGAGGGCGATGCTCTTCCCCCCCACACCACTTCCCTCCCCTGGCCCCCTCCACCACACCAGACTTACCAGCTGCACGCAGCTCTCCATGCTGCTGGGCTGTGCTTCTCGCTGCCTGCGTGCCGTGCTGCAGCTGCAGCTGTGCACCCACACGAGCATTTATTGGCAAATTATCAGCCACTTTGGGCTGATTTCCGACGGAGTCAATTTTCTTTATGTTGGTCTTTCTTTATTTAATATCGGACTGATGTATTGGCGCACCTCTACAAATTACGTATTTACCTACAAAAATGACTTGTCAAATCTCTCTTAAAATTGTTATACAGTTTCCATGCTGGCTTTAAAAATCCTTCGCCTTAAAGAATAAGAAACTGTGCATAGACCCTAGCCATAAACAAAGCTGAGGCAACAAATGCTACGTCTGATGTGGCAGCTGCACAAAAATGGTTGCAAAGTTGTCATTTAAAACCATACTGGTAAAAACAAGAAGTCTGCTAATAAGTCCACTTCAAGTTTAGGAAACGTAAGGTATTCCATTACTAATGGGTTTGTACATGTCCTTTATCATAAGAAAGGAAAAAAGTACTCTTTCTTTCTCTGAGTAGCTGGAAAGTCTGCACATTTCTCTAACAATGGGTGATTCTGACAAAAATTGAAAAAAGTCAGGATACACTGAACTCAACATTCCTGTACAGAAATAGGTGAGGAAGTCAGAACAGCTCCATTTTCTTTTTGACTAAAAAAAGTTCCTAAGCTCTAGATTTAGGAGGCTAGGGCTAGAAAGGGGCCTAGTGGAACAATCACAGATTCATAGATTGTTAGGGACTGGAAGGGACCTTGTAGATCATTGGGCCCAGTCCCCCCTGCACTAGGCAAGAAAAAACACAACTGGGGTCAAGTGACCCCAGCGAGGTGACTGTCCATCTCCTTTTGAAGATGAATACAAGGAATGAGATTAGAGGAATCTCAGGTCCCTGGGAATGCAAGCCTACTTTGTTAATATTTGAGTGCACAAATTCCTTAATTCAAAGCCTCACTACATTAAGCGTGGTACGGCTGTACAGCTAGCCATTACTCCAGCTACAACTTTCAGGCCCATTTTTTCTATAAAGTAACAACAAGCACAAAATGTTTAAGATGTGTACTGAAATGGACTGGAAGCCAACGTGCACAGTGGGCACTTACCCCAACCTAATCCTGTCACGCAAGGAGTAATTTTTCCAGTGTTCTGCTAACTTGGAAAACTATCAGTCAGTTCAGCTTTTGACCGAAGACAACGTTTTTTCATTTGGAAGGAATATAAAATGTAACATTCGAGTCTTCAATGTATTAGAATTATTTTAAAGAATTGACCACCTCTGGGAGTTTGCTAACCAGGTAGAGGTTCAAGTATATGCAGGACTTACTCAGACATGTAACTGGAGCCCTCTTACCTTCTCCCATAGCTGTTTCTCCTCCAGCTGCATAAGCATGTCCAAAATGTAAGTCATGTGTGCTGGGCCACTGAGATCCAGGGTTTCTTCATTTATAGCCACATCATCTGGCCATTCAGCCAACAATGAGGCTAATACATGCCTGGCATAAAGTACAGCAGTAGCTTCATTCACCCGATACAGGTAATCCCTCACAGCTTTTTTGCTTCTAGAATCCAGCTCTTTGTGCAAGAGTATCGAACTTTTGGTGCGGCGCTGTTTTGCATAACTAAGCTGGAGGTCACTCTCTGTGTTGGTTATCAGTTTCTGCGTGATGGGGTTGGTTTCTTCAGTTGCTTTATCACAGAGCACAGGCTGCGACTGCAGGAGACACCAGGTTTGAGAAGATTTGCAGAAGAGTTTACATCTTCATGTTTAGACACTGATGACTAGCAAGTCTGAACTCATCACTTACAGGATCACCAAAAACTACAGGATCCAGTCTTTCACAAAGAACACAAATGGGCCTATTACTTCCAACCTGTATGGCATCAGACCAGAGGAAACCAGCAGTCCCTTCTGGCCTTAAAAATCCACTACTCTCTGCCTTCCTTGTGGGGCAAGTTTATCAAATGAGTGTATCTATCATTCTCATGACAGTTTAATGCACATCTTCACTTGGCAATACTTATTTATCCATTTGTAAAAGCTAAAGCAGAGTAACTGGTAGATATCAACCAAACTACTTATTTCTAAACAAGTATTTGAAATACGCAGTCCCTTACATGTGAAGGTAAATGATACGCAGCACTCTGTGAACCTCTCTACTGGGTCCAGCTGCTCACTGACACTTACTACATAGTTGGGGGTTCACTCAATATCTCATCTTTTGCTATTAGAATCATGGCCTCCATCTTGGCAAGGCAAATGTGTCTTTTCTTTGTTCTATTATGGTTCTAACATGGTAATATTAAACCACCATAAAATCATAGAAAGTTAGGGCTGGAGGGGACCTCAGGAGGTCACTTAGTCCAACCCTGTGTTTAAAGCAGGAGCATCCCCATCTATATCATCTCAGCCAAACAATGAAACGCACACTTTTTGTGATAAATTATGTAAGACTCTCCTGTGAGAGGGCATTTAAAGCATGCCAGTCCAACTACCACTCATTTTCCTTGTATAAAATATAGTTCTTTTAAAACTTTCCAAGAGAAGCTGAAGAGAAGAAAGCTCCCATCTTTCTGATATCTTGCCTATTCACTTCAATATTAAAAAGTAGATTAAACTTTAAATATGGACCTCTGAATTATTTGAATCATTAAGTTCTGAGATATCAAGCTGCCACATTTTTAACGAAGAAATACACACCAAGCATGGCAAGATGATCATATCCGTATCTACTGCTTTTGAACTCTGCTCTTCCAACTTCAAACGTTTGCTGGGCTGCCATTTCTGGGCCAGCGTTCGGATCCTCTCATCTGTTGCGATTACATTCCCATCAAACCTTGGTAAAAATGCCAAATGGGTTTAGTCAATTAACATGAATTTAAAATTTTGCATTTACAGTCCACACTGATTTGTGTCTAAATGAAGTACCGCCTTACGCTTCTGTCAGATTTGGTCAACTAGCCTTCCTGCTTTAGCAAGCCAGAAAAGCTACCTTGCAAATTGTAAAACATATTCTTCCTGTCTTGCAACTCTTATTTGTAAGAAGCAGATGGCAACAAAAGCTGTTTCGGTTGCTGGAAGCCTATGCCCGTCATTCTTCCTCAGTTGGGATGACATTTTAGAGAAATACTGCTACCTCAATCTCTCCATCCATAAATTATGTCCTCTACTGGGACATACTGAGAATGGCGAGTAATGTTATCCAAAGAAACATCCAACATACTAAAAAAATGCTGGCTTATGTCTTCACAGCTATAGTTGCAAGTTTAGTAGAGGTCCAGTTTCCAATCACCACTTGATGAAGCAGGAAACAACAGCTTCATATTCTTTTCTTCTCGTAGCAGTTTCTGCTAGCACCCCTTCAAAATGAGTAAAAGTTACCCCCTTGATCACTGTTTTTCTGTTTGACTTGGCAGCTCACTTACCTCCTTTGAACTTCTAGGAAGAAAGAATCTGTTCTTTTCATCTGCAGCTCATACATGGCTCGAAGAATATGCAAAGGTGCATTGAGTGCATCGTGTGTCATCTGAAATAAAGTTGACAGCAGGTGAGGAGAGGAAAAATGGATATTGTTTTTTATTGGGGACAATAGGCATGTGTATTTCCCTGTTCAGCCTACGAATAAAGGACTGATGAATTTTAAACTCTCTATAGCAATATGGATAATTAGTCATTATTAAAAGTTTACTAAACGTTTTGTATTGTGGCCTTAACAAGAAAGTATATCTAATCTAGACAGAAATACATACATCAGGTATGAAAACTACAGGTAAATGTTGTATTAAAGAAATATTTTTATGCAATTAAACTAAGCCATGATAGCTTGGCAAAACAGAGAAATAGGTAGCCTGAAAAGTACCAAGAAGCATATTTTTGTTGCTTCATCCAAGCCTTCTAGAGGATCGAGTTTGTTCTGATCCAGATCAGTGGGACCAAAGGACTGATCGACATCCTGATCTTGGTCTCTTTCTTCCAGCTCTGTGTCTTCACGTTCAACCAGGGAACTGATCTCCTTCTTTGAGGAATACAGCATTATTGACAAAATCTGCACAGAAAAAAAGGCAACATATGGTACCACAGTTGCAGATATTATTGTATGTGTAAATCAGCACTGACCAGCACACTTGGCCCAAGTTTATTAACGCGTGCTTTTCTTAAGAGAAACAGCACCTAAAAAATAGCGTTTCCTATTCCACAAATGCTCTACACCTTCCCGGTTTCTTTGAGGTCATCTTAAATAATTAACCATAAAGTTAAAATATGAGAAAAAGAAATTAGGTCTTTAACTGTTTGGGCACGTAAGTTTCCAACATTTTAGGACAGGAACCTAATATGGTCAGCTATAATTATTCATCGGCAAAATAGTATTTGCTATTATTATTCACTGCTCCCTTTTAAATAGACTAGATCTTTGGTTCCACAATACAGTAATGCCAACTAAACTTACAAATGGGCAGAATGACAGCATAACATTTCCTTGGCCTTGTCTTTTTTTGTTCGTTTGTTTGTTTGTAATCAGCCACAAGCATCAATAGCTACACACGCTAATGCAGAAAATCTCCGTGCCCTTGTCTATTATGAGACAGAAATGCTCACTGCGGACTCAGCCGTGTAGCTCTCCCTATAATTAACAGATTCAAAAGAATATGTCTAAATGTACATTGATCTTCTGCAGTTTCTGTAATGATTCATGTGTATCTACTTAATTGCTGTTACAGCACCAGCATATAATGGGTTTCTTGCAGATCTACTGGTATGGTCTTTAAAACTGAATGCAAGGATTTTTCAAAGGGCCTAATGGAATTACCTACATCACATTGAAAAAAGTCAATTGGGAGATGGTTATCTAGCTACCTCAAACTGTTTCAGAAGTTCCAGTTTAAATAAAATCAGCTCAACACTAGCCTTACTTAAAACAAATTTTCTATCTTATGCAAGACACACAGTTATGAATGACAGACACGCAAATGCAGACACAGAAATATAGCAAGCGGGGTGTTGTAACAGTTATAGTTAATTAAGAATAATGTGGGGCCCTTGCAGGACACATTAGGAAATTTGGTCGTCACACCAGACGACAAAGCCAACATATTTAACGATTTCTTTGCCTCCATCTT